CCCTTCTCCATTTCTCCCTCCTTTAGGATATTGAGCACTCATGCACATGCACTTGCCGTGTTTTCATAAGCCTACTAGGTCTGGGACTTGAACCACACTGTCGGGCACACAGAATACAGCTGCCTCAATCACCATGTCACTGGCTGGCCCAAAGTTTGCCATTTAAATAAGACTAATTTATCTGTATTTTATTTTATGATCCAGTGTGCTTCCTATCCTGTTTGGGAAATTTCTTTATTCAAGTTAATAACAATATTCTCTTAAGTTTCTTATAGAATATTTATTATTTTACCTTCTTTTGCAAATATTAAGTATTTTAGTATATTTATTATTTTAATTTTTGTCACTATATATCTTTATAGTGTACAACATGGTTTTTCCCAGCATGATACAATGTGTATCAGTTAAGACAATGTCATTACCATATATATTATGATAAGCAGAGTTATTCATTTATTTAATTTAAGTTATTGATATTATTATCTTTCAATTTGCTATAGAGCACATGTACTTACCAGAGAGACTCCTCGGAGAGAGAGAGAGAGAGAGAGTGAGAAAGCAAGCTTCCAGGGACCAGCAGGTGGTGTGGTGGTTAAGGCACTGGACACTCCCACATGGCTGACCTGTGTTTGAGTCCTGAATCTGGTGGCTTGCTGTCTGGCTTCCTCTCTCTCTCACTCTCAACATCTGTCTCTCTGGTCAAACTAAAAAATAAATGAATGAATAAATAAAATAAAATAAAAATAATTACTTAAAAAAAAAAAAAGAGAAAGCAAGCTTCCAGGTTAAGGACTCAATGCAGTCAGCCACATGGGAGTCCAGCACCTTAACTACCATGCCACCCACTGGCCTTTTATTTTACCTTGAAATATAAGTATTTAATCTACATTAGATAATTTTTATATAGTTTGAGAGAAAAGATTTTCTACCATGCCACCCACTGGCCTTTTATTTTACCTTGAAATATAAGTATTTAATCTACATTAGATAATTTTTATATAGTTTGAGAGAAAAGATTTTTAAGATTTTAAAAAATATATAAATATAGAAAATTGATTTTCCATAAATGATTGAAAGGATCATTTCTTCCATGCTGAATTGAAGCAATGAACTTTTTTGTGACTCTGTATGTGGGAATAATTTTAGACTCTTTGTTTTATTATTCTTGCATGAATACTACACTTTTTAAAATTACTGCAGTTTTGTAATAAGTCCTGCTAATTAGCAGACATAAGTCCTCAAGTCTCGCCTCCTTTTCTTTTTCCTCCCTCTTCTTCAAGACTGCTTTAGGCTACTCCATAAAAAATTTCAAATATTGTATCTCATAGTATTATGGCGTAACATCCTATAATAAAATTGCCTTTATATTCCATATAAAATTTCATATAAACTTTGTAATAAACTTGCTCATTATAACAACAACCATGTGATTTTTATTACAAATACAGCACCCACTAAATCCTTAAATCCTTAAAATCTGGTTGACATATTCCTTAGTCTCCAAGAGAATATCATCTGATTATTTGAGGTAGGAATCTTGTTTTATGGAACTTTGTCTCTTTCTCTCTCTCTCTCTCTTTTTTAAATAACATCTTGCATTCTCTCTCTCTCTTTTTTAAAGAAAATCTTGCCTTAGGGTGCATGTGCTGAGTGGAGAGAAAGAGACAGAGTGAGAAGGAAAGTGAGAAATCTACCCCAGACAGATGGCCTTCTGCAATCCCTTCTCTTCGTGGGATCTTGAACATTCACAAACACACATCCAATATGATTTTTCAAGTCAATGGGTCTGGGACTCGAACTGCAGTCTGCCATGTGGGAGTCCAGAGACCTAACATCTTGCCATTTGCTGGCCATGGAACTTTGTCTCTTAAACGCCATGAAATTATGAGAGATATAGGTCTGCACTTTAGAAGGCCTCAGTGTAGACTCCTGCTGTTACTTCTGCAGCCCCAGAACTCCAGCCAATGTCTCATGGAGGAGGCTCTGACTCTAGCCTCTGTTTAACATATGTCATGACAGCCATGTTCTACACCAGAACCTCCATTGCTTCCACAGTTCTTGTATCTTTAAAATATTATTTTTCTAATATTTGGCCTTTTCTACTTTTGTAACAGGAGCACTGACTTGATGAAACCTACCTCATTTTACTCAAGAACGGAAGGTCATTTCTACATGGATTCTTATAGAAAAGAAGCAATCTTGGAAAAGATCCCCATTCTATACACATTTTACACCCTATAGATATATTATATAAGCAATAAACTGGAGAGAAGAAAGTATTGCAGGTTGGGACCAACAGTTAGTGTAATGGTATGTCTCTGGACTATCATGTAGTTGATCATGGTTCGAGTCCCTGACCCTCATGCCAGGCGTGTGTGCATGCATGCCCAAGATCCCGAGAAGAGAATGGAGGAGAAGGGATTGCCATGTGTGCATCCCTCCTGGAGGATGATTTCTCGCTTTCTATCTCTCTGTCTCTCTCTGTCTTTCTGGGGAGCTCACACGCCCTATAGCAAAAACCTCTCCAAAACAAAGAGGAAAAAAAGGGAAAGTATTGCAGATTGATTTATAATAACTTTCTGTTACTCAAGGAAAATAGATATTTGAGCTTTAAATTAAGGAGAGTTATAGATAAGAATAAATCTACATCTCTTGTAAACCTAAAATTTTTGAACCAATATAGGTATTCAATACTTATAAATTGGAGATCAATTTGAGTCATATTTTTAAATAAAAACTTTGAAAATTTTTCAAAAATACATTTATTTCTTATAAAAGAAACTAGATCACCACATGGTGTGAAGGATAAGGCAGCTGGATCCCACATAACTGACTGTGTGGTTTGAGTCCCAGACCAGAGAGTTTAAAAACAGGCCAAACGTGTGTTCCTGTGGGCCCCAAATCCCAAGAGGAGAGTGGAGGAGGAGGAATTGTGTCATGGCCATTCCCATTGGAGGATGCTTTCTCCCTTTTGCTCTCTCTTTCTGTTTCCATTGAGTACATTCACTATATATATATACACACACACACACACACACACACACACACACACAAACAAGAGAGAAACTGGAAACTGACCTCAATAGCTTATTAAGACAGACATGGATTGGTAATATGGCATCAGTTATCAGATTTGTATATATTTATATGCTTTTAAGTTTTATGAAATTTTATCATTTGAGAGACACTTGTAGCAAAACCCAGAGAGCTAATAAATATGCACTAATCACAAGAAAAATAAATAATAGAGGTGAAAAGTATGTGAGGAGAAGTGGATCTAAGACCAATCTTTAGACAAGAAATAGACTATTCTGTTTTGAACTCATACACTTAACTCTCCTTAAGTGTGTCTTCAATGTTCTCAGGTAAATTTACCTGTATTTCAGAAGTTGTAGGAAGGGTCCAGCTTGGAATGTGGCATATAAAAAGGGATTTTATAGGCTTAACTTACAGAATGATGCTTGCTAAATACTTGAGGGCAAACAAGATTTAAGTTATTGTCCTAGGGATTTTGAAAAATGAGAAGAGATAAAGTCAGCTTATAGTTTAGATGAGGAGACAAGAACTTACCCAAGCAACAGAATTGCAGTACATCAGTAACAGAAAGGAGGACATGATGTTGATCATAGTACTAAGTTTTGTATGTCTGTGTCATCAGATTATTATCAGACAAATAGCTTCACACGGCTCTCATCTCAAAGGCATCATAGGTATTGAACATCAAAACAAAATCAAACAAGGACATAAACAAAGAAAACAAATAGACAAGCACTTAGATAAAACTATAAGGTTTTATACTGAATTCAGGATAAAGCTTCAGAAGCTTTCTTATCAATGTCCTTTCTATTCATTTTGTGCAATAAAAGCAGAACTACTATGATACACGGTCTAGTGAACAGATGCGGAGATGGCCCCAGTGATCCCAATTTCCAGGTATTCATGCCCTTGTCTTTTTATTTTCAAATCAAATATGTAATTTGAAGCTATCTGAACTGGAGCTATTTTACTGCAAGGAGCTTTGTTTTTGTTTAAATATGTTTTCTGGTTTATATATAATTGATGTATATTATCATATGCTACAGTACTTTTTAAAAGCATGCATACACTGTGTAATAATGAAATCAAGGATAGATTTTATTAAGAATTATTTTATTTAACTTTATTTATTTATCTATTTATTTTAATTTGAACAGAGAGGGACTGAGTGGGGCGGGCGAGGGGAAGAGAAAGCAAGCCGCCAGGTCCGGACCCAAACTGTGGTCGGCCGTGTGGGAGTCCAGCGCCCTCAACCACCACATTATCTGCCCGCCCCAGATGTAGGAAGATTTTTAATTGCTAATTCAATCTCTTTACTCATTAAGACAAAACTGTTCAGATTATCTATTTCTTATAGAAGCAGTGCTTTTTGTATGTCTAGAAATCTGTTTGAGTCTTCCAATTTATCTAAGTGTTTTGCCATATAAATGATAAGAGTATTTCCTTATGATCCTTTATTTTTAAGGTCAGTATCAATGCCCCCACTTTAAGTTCTGAATCTAGGAATATGGCTCTTTTCTCTTTTTTTTATAGATTACTCTGACTAAAGATTTGTCAAATTTTGTTCATCGTTTTTAAGAATCTGATTTGGATTTAATTATTTTCTTTATGTTTTCCATTATTTATTGTATTAGTTTCCTTTCTGATCTTTATTATTTTCATTTTTAATGCTTGTTTTACAGTTATTCTGTTTTTTTTAAATCTTTCTCTAGATGGAAGTTTAAGTTAATGATTAGAAATCTTTTTTTAGTTTGTCATGCAAGTGCACTCTCCATTTGTGTGCATGTGTGCCCATATGTGTATGTACTTTTATTCAATTGCTTTTTAAAATAATTAAATGTAGAAAATTATGCAGTTTTACCAGAACTTCCTTTAGTTCAAAGAAACTTTTTAGTTTGATATAATCCTGCTTGTCTGTTTTTGCTTTTGTTGACTGTGCTTGTCCAAAAAGTCTTTGCATGTGTATATTTACCTGGCAGGGGAGATACCATGATCATGAAGGTGGTTTTCCCAGAGCAGGGTTTATCCACTGCACTGCAGATGTGCTGACCCCTGTGATTTCTCCAAATGTGGGAAACTCGACTGTGTAATTTGTGGTAGTGGGGGACTACAATCATACTTTCCCCTGTGAAAAAGACAAAGAAAAAAAGTCTTTGCATAGAACAATGCTTAATTCGGGCAAAATACATAGAAGGTCATTTCTTTATTTATCAAAGCAAAAGAGTTAAAGATTTATTATTCACAATAGAATGGAGGTTTTCTTTCTTTTTTCTTTTATTTTTTCACTTTATGGTACCAGCAGTCCTTTTTCACACACACACACACAGACACATACACACATACTTTGCATTTCCTTTCTTGGTTCTAACTCAGGACATAGCTAATAAAGCAACGGTGATGAGGAAGCTAGTGAGAATCAGTAGTCTGTACTTCCTCCTTTTTCATAATTTTTAAGTAATAAAACAAGAATCACCTAGCATATTTATATTTTATATATCAGGCACATCATATTATAATTTCACATTTTTAAATTAATCTTCTAATTGCTTTTCATTGTAAATCCTACTATAAACCTCCTCTATACCACCTGCTTGTTCACATTAGAATAGAAGGAGAATGAGAGAGAAAGAGAAATTATTATTTAAATATTTTGTTTAATCTTAGGCAATTAGAATAAACTATAAATAAGAATAATGCCTTTACTACTTGAGGTCATGAAGTAAGAGAATCAAAAGAATGTAAATTCTGTAATCTAAACTATCACCAGTTAGTGATAGTTTAGATTAGTGAAATTCTACACACATGATTATAAAACAACCAATGTAAGTATCCCTTGGTTCTTGTCTGAACTGTTCTATAAACTTAAAGATTCAGGGACACTTCTCTAAATGAGAAGTTCATATAGTGTAATTTTCTCTCCATTTGTCTTAGTGTACTCAGCAATGTTTATTTAAAGTGACAATTCTCACATGCTTCCTGGAAAAAGTCACTGAGAGAGAAAGGGAGAGAGAGAGAAAATGAGAAAACATCCCCAGGGGATGACCATGCCGTAATCCCTTCTCCTCCAGTCTCCCCCTAGGATTTTAGGCATGACTTCACATGTGCCTGGAGGATTTTCAAGTCACCAAGTCCGGGATTCCAACCATACAATCTGCCATGTGTGACCCTGCTGCCCTAACCTCTACACCCTCTGCAGGTCTCATTTTTGCCTGGTTAGTGACTGTTATTCCTCCAGTACCTAAAATGAGGCCTATGAGGTATTGCGTTCTTAATTAATAAGTATGAAACAAATGAAAATGCATAGTAATGAGTGCATTGAAAGGAAAGGAGTAGGAAGCAGAGATCCATGGCAAACTGGAAAGAGCATGCCACTTAGAGGGCAGCCACTACCTATTTCTTATGAATTTTGGCCATGTAAAAATATAGGTCAAATGACGCCAGACTTTTTGATTTTCAATAATATTTAGATATCTAAATTCATTTGCACATTGTCCCAATATCTAATTTTTTACTCTACTGAAATATGCATTATCTAGAACAAAGTGCATATGCTTTAGTTCCTAGTGCAGTAAGTTTTGATACCTATATACCCACACGAAACAATTAACACAACTGTGATACAAAACATTTCTCTTACCCCAAAAGGTTTTTTTTAATTTTTATTTTATTATTATTTTTAATACATTGAATCTCTATAAATCATTTGACTTGCAAAGAAATTTACAAAATATGAAATACACCTCAGAGCAGTCTAATTGAGAATACTATACATTCTGTCATCAACAGGTAATGTACAATTACTATGTCCCACAAATGTCTTATGTCTATTTTTCTCCCTGATTTCCTTCCCTATACTCATCCCCTCTCCCGTCTTCCTTCCACACTGTCTCCAGTGCCCATAACTATTTTCAATGCTTTTCTGTCCTCCAATCTTTCAGTTTCTACTATAGGCTGTAAACAGTAAGTATGTATTAAGTGGAGAAATAAAATGTCTTTCTTTCATAGCCTAACTTTCTTCAGTGAGCAATAAATCTTCCATATTCAACTACTTTCTATCGAATGCCAGGGTCTTGTATTTTTATGGTTGAATAGTATTCCATAAAGTATATATGCCACACTTTTTCAATCCATTCATCTGTTCATGGATATTTGGGTTGGTTCCATGTCTTGTACATTTGGGTTGGTTCCATGTCTTAGCAATCTTGAATAATGCCAGAATAAACATTGATGTGCAAGCACTTTTCTGACTGAGCATTCTCCTGTCCTTTGGGTAGATCCCCAGGAGTGGGGTTTCTGGATCATATGGTAATTCTATTTGTAGGTCTTTGAGGAACCTCCATATTGTTCTCCACCGTGGTTACATTGATTTACATTCCCACCAATAATGTAGGAAAGTTCCCTTTTCACCACAATCCTGCCATCATTTATTATTTTTTTCTATTTTTAATCTTTGCCATTCTGACAGAGGTTAGGTGATATCTCATTCTGGTTTGAATCTGCATCTCCTTTACTTATTTATTTATTTATTTATTTTTGGAGAAGTTTTTGCTATAGGGTGCGTGCGCTTGCCAGAAAGACAGAGAGAGACAGAAAGCGAGAAATCACTCCCCAGGGGTAATGGCCGTGCTATAGTCCCTTCTCCTCTATTCTCCTCTTGGGATCTTGGGCATGCATCCACACGCACTTGGCGTAAGTTTAAGCCACCAGGTCTAGGACCCAAACCATGGTCGACTACTCGGGAGTTCAGCAACATAGTCATTATGCTAACTGCTGGTCCCACATCTTCCTTATAATGAGGGGTGTTGAGCATTTCTTCATATGCTTTTTGGCTGTTCATATGTCTTCCTATGAATGGTTTTTGTTCAGGTCAATTTCCTATCTTTTAATTGGGTTATTTTATTATTATTATTTTGTGTGTGTGTGTGTGTGAGCTGATTGAGTTCCCTGTGTATTCTAGTTATCAGTCCCTTATGCGAGACATAGCTTACAAAATATTTTCTACCACTTCAAGGGTTGTCAGTTCACACTAATTACTGTGTCCTTGACTGGGCAGAAACTGCTTAATCTGATGTAATCACATTTGTTGATTTTGGGAATTATTGCCTGTGCTTGGGGGATCATATTTAAGAAGTGTTTGCCTAACCCAGTGTCTTCCTGAGTGTCCCCAGTTTTTTACCCCAGTAGTTTTATAATTTGGGATCTTAGACTTAGATCTTTAATCCCTTTTAAGTTGATTTTTGTTAATGTTGAAAGATTGAAATCCAATTTCATCCTTCTGCAGGTCGATACCAAGATTTTCCAACATTTGCTAAAGAGGTTTTCCTTTTCCCACTGAATTGATTGGTATCCTTTGTCAAAAATCAGTTGACTATATTTTTGGGGGTTTATTTCTACCCCAAAAGTTTTCTTATGCCCTTTTGTAATTCCTCCCTCTCTTCATCTCATTCCTAATCTACTAATCTGTTTTTGGTCATATAGACTGGTTTGTGTTTTCTAGTATACAAATGAAATCATACAGTGTATGCTTTTATTTCCTGACCTATTTAATTTAGTATAATGATCTTGAGATTCAGTATATTGTTTGTATAATATAATTCTATTATTTATTTCTGTTGCCGAATATTACTTTATTCATGAATGCACCACAGTTTGCTTTTCTACTCACCTTTAATGGACATTTGGGTTGTTTCTCAGTAGGGGCAATTTAAATAAAGCTTCTGTGAATATATTTTTCAAAAAATAGCAGTTCTAATAACTATTCAAAATGTTTACATCATTATTTTAGGGCCTGAGAACATAATGATGTATTTTAAACATCCAGGCTAGGCCAACACACACTAACATTTGAAGACTTCTTTCTCTGTACTAGGTTTCATGTGAGGTGTTGGTTGACATGATTTGCTGGTGGAGGTGATGTTGTGCGACAGAAAGAATATTGGGATGGGCATTAAAGCTCTCTCATCATGAGCTGATGATTGTGGAATGACTTGTCCTTTCTGATCATTGGTATATTCATTATAAAATGGGAATAATATTTAAGTTCACCTCTAAGGGTGATGTGAATATAAAATGAGACAGATCACTTCAACAAAATCACTTTGCAAAATGGGACACCTTTTACAAACATAGAGAACTTTAGGTAAAGGTTTTATTTTATCTTCACAATGACTACAATATATTTCCCAACTTTACTGGTACATAAGTGAAAAAAACAAATCTTGGGACCAGCAGTTAACATAATGGGTATGTTGCTGAACTCCCATGTAGCCGACTGTGGTTCGAGTCCCGGACCCAGGCTTAAACTCACACTGAGCACGTGTGCATATGTGCCCAAGATCCCAAGAAGACAAAGGAGGAGAAGGGATGGTGGCATGGCCATACCCCCTGGGGGGAATGATTTCTCGCTTTCTATCTCTCTCTCTCTGTCTTTCTGTTGAGTGCACGTGCCCTATAGCAAAAAACTCTCTTCCCCAAAAGATAAAAAGAAAAAAAACAAAAACAAGTCTTAAAAAATTATAGTTACAGAATAAAGCAACCTGGTATGATAAATCCTACTTTTCATTTATTTCAACAAGTGACTCAGGAGCTAGAAAATATTGTACATAAATCAAAATATGTCCTAGGCTCATATTCTGATAGACATCTTATATAAATTTAGTGGGTCAGAATAAATTATAAATGACTTGCAATGATGGATAATAAGGATGTTAATTATATTCCTAAATTGCAGCACCTGCATTTAGTCCCCAAAGAATAGAAGTTTGTAATAGCCAGCAATATTAATCAAAGTGACACCAAAGTCACAATATATGGATTTACTCTTTACTTACTGAAATTTACCGTCTTTGATTAAGTCATGTGATAATACATGCAGGACATCCTGGAACTACTGTATATCAAAAGGATAACTCTGCTGACAGCTTCCCTTTGAAACATTTGCAAGTCACCAAATTTGAGAGAGCATATGTCTAGAAATGGTGTCAAGGACACACTGTTAATGGACCAGTCACTTCCCTGCCAAAGTCCTCCACCTGTGTACTAACATTCTGCTGCATTTAGAGGTTACTGATTATTTTTATTCAAAGAAAAAAGGGACATTACATTAGCTAGCATCCTTTCTGCACAATG